AGAAAAGCAATGAAGCAACCCCTTAACCCATTGATCTCTGATGTTGTGGAAAAGGATATCAAATTCACGTGTCCATTCGACACTTTTATTTATCGAAGATTCTTATTTGATCCTGGAATAAAAGGCGAAGACACTAATACAAATTTCAAGGGCGATGGATGCTATCCAAAGTTACTCCCCACTTTGGAAGAGGAGACGGCAGGAAATCTCTCTTTGGGAAAGGATGCATATGTGATCACTTATCCACCTTGACTCCTCGGGTGTGTTCCTTCCTTTCTCTCACTCTTATTTTATATTTATGTTCTTTCGTTGAGGACAATGTATGCTTTAAGTGTGGGGGAGGGAACCATTTACTTTGTTTTATTTCTTTCAATTTTCTTTGTTTTGTTTTCATTTAATAAAAAAATTGTTTACTCAGAAAAACACAATGCATTTTTTGAAATTTTTGGGTTGTAGATCGATTGGAGGTCAGATTGTAGAGACTTGAGAAAAATTCATAAGATCGGTATCGTTTTAACACCTTGAGTCTCCAAAATATGGAAATCGATTTAGATACTTGTTATGGCTTAGTCTTGAGTTCTCGTTCTTTAATAGCTCTTAAGTAGTTTATCTAGCAGTCAGCACCATCTAAAAATCACATGCTAAGTAATTGAGCTGATGCAAATAAGTGAATGATCCCGTGCTTAATAAGAAAAAAAAAGAGAAAAAGAAAAAGACAAAAAGTGGAAAAAAAAGAAAAGAAAAGAAAAGACAAAGAAAAATGTCTAATTATGAATTGTTGAAAAAAAATATGGATCACAGTCACTAACAAGCTTAGTTACCATGCGTGTGAATAGATAACGGGCTTAATGTGATTGCACTAGAATGAAAGAGAGCAAAAAGGAGGATGAGTAAGTTAGACTTAGGCATAACGACATGATTTGGATTGGTTTGTATAGGAGGGAGTCTTATGATCGCAAAATTGCGGATTTGTGTTCTTACGATATCCTTAGTATGTAAAAGTAGTACCGATCAATGCAATCTTGACCAAAGAGGAGTTCACAGCCTAGATTGAATAGCTGAATGTTTTTGTGTTTCATGAGTTTTGACAATACTTTGCTCGGAGTGCAAAAGTTCATGTGTGGGGGAATTTCTTCACTAGAGGGTCAGGTAACTTAATTCTCTCACTCTCTCTATGTATTTGCTTCCACTCTGCCTGTCACTTACTTTGGCATCGGAGTATGTTTCAGGTACACCTCCTCCTTTTTAACACTTTGGTGAACAACTTCTAGATCGACGACGCGTGGCAGATCATCGATCCCCTTCTGGTCAGGTACGATCAGTGGCGCCGTCTGTGGGAACACTAAGCTTCCCCGTTCCTCCGAGCAGAGAACCAAAGCTTCCTCCTCTCAAATTTCAAGATCATGACTAGCCCACGCCATGATGACGCTATTCACAACTCCACCCTCGTCCCCATCACCAACGGTGACAACCAGACGGGGACATCGCAACCCGGCGAGACCGACGTCAGGGACGGCCAGACTGCCTCCCCTTCTTCCGAGGACGTGCCGCACCATGTCGTTCCTCAGGCAAGGAGTTCGACAGTATTCTAGCCTATCCCCACCCCGGCTGGGGCGGATTCAACGATGATTTCCCTATTCGCAGCCATCAACCAGACGAACCAAATACTGTTCCGGCAGAATGAGCGCATCGACACGCTGGAGCACGACACCTCGTCCTGCTCCCCTCCGCAGGGAGATCAGCACGGGAACTCGCGGAGCCCCTCTCCCCAACCACGGGGGCGCCGACCGCAGCTGGAGAGGCCCCAACTCGTAGCCTCTAAGAAGAGGGCAAGGTCGCCGACCCGGAAGGAGAGGCGCTCCCAGGAACCAAGGACGACGAGGCCGGTGACCCCGACCAGACATCTGAGGATGCGCAACCAACCTCCTCGACACGGGCCGTCACCCCCTCAGTCCCCGGTTCCCAGCAACAAAGACGACTACATGACCCCTTGTCCCATGAGATCATGGCGACCCTCATTCCCCATGGGATGGAGAAACCGCCCGTACTATCGACGTACGACGACACCTCGGATCCAGACGACCATCTGGAAGACATCAAGGCTATGCTCGACTACAGGACGTTTGGGGAGCCATCAAGTGCAAACTTTTCCCGATTACATTGAGGAAGGGCGCCATGACGTGGTACAAGAGCCTAAAGCCAGAGTCCGTCACGTCGTGGAGGGTCCTGAAGGACCTATTTTCGCGATACTTCACGGCGTCAAGACGACATCCGAAGACGGAGGCCGCGCTGGGCGCGATCATCCAGGCCCCCGACGAGCCTCTCCGAAACTACATTGAGAGGTTCATGAGGGAGGCGATCCAAGTAACGACTTCGGACGAGATGAAGTATTACTTGATGGAGCAAGGCCTACATCGAGACTCCAAGTTCTATAAGGATGTGGCCATCCATCGGCCAGACAGAGGCCGCCAACACCGCCCACGACACACGGAACAGAGAAACCCCTCGCGGGTCCCGAGACGAAGGGGCCTCGACCCACCGACGAGGGGGAGACCGGCGACGGGAGGACCTTCCCCGAGAACCCCGTGAGCAGCGAGGCCCCATTGGTCATTTTACCGAATACACGACGCTAGTCGCTTCCAACGAGCGCATACTGGCTAAGTGCGCCAATTCAGAGTTTGTCCGAGGAGGTGTTCGTTTCCCAAAACCAGCACCCGCCAATGCCAATGTGGACAAATCAAAATATTTCCGTTTCCACCGGAGTCACGGACACGTGGCAGAAGATTGCATCCACTTGAAGGATGCAATTGAGATCCTAATCAAAGGCGGACACCTGAAGAGGTACACCCGAGAAGGAGACCCCCCTGCAGCAAGAGGCTCCCGAGACTAAAAAAATCGAGGACCTCCCTTCTCCCAACAACGACTCCGACCTGCAAGTGACCCTAAGCGTTGGAACACAATTATTATTTTTTCTGCACTATGCGACTTTATGACAATTTAAATGTATTATGATGGAACACAATTGTAGTTTTAATGTCTAATTAATATATTTATTATGAATTTTTTTCACTTTTTATGATTATCCTGTGATGCATATGTGATTTTTGAAATTCCAAACTAGAATAATATTTTTGGAGTTAATTAATTAGTTAATTATTTTAAGGGAAAGATGGTGATGCAAAGCACCTGCCATGTTGAAGTAATGTTTATTCTTTGAAAATGGTAAGAGCGCCAAAACCATATCTCAATGGTGAATCATATTTTTTATCATGATATTTGTACAAGCCAGCATGCAGTATTCTTATCATATGACTTTTGAATTCATGTCTTGAATTTACATTTGATTATGTTGGATATGGAATCTTCTACCATTTATATGATTATCTCTAACACAATTGGAATACTGCAATTTACCTGATTGTATTAACTTTGTAACATTCATATTTTATCTTCTATTAATTAATAGTGTCAATGTTTCTATGTATTTATAGCATTTGCAATCAGTTTTAGAACATTTTCATTAAGTTGTAAGGTCAAACAATGAAGGATTACAAAAATGGAATCAAGGGTCCTTAAAAAAAGAGTTGATAACAAATTATTTCAAATATTGATATTAATACAAAATTATGAAAAATAAATATGAATTAAATTTTAATTATTGACATTGTTAAGAAATTAAAACAAATTTTAAAGATTGGTAACTATTTTCAAAAAATTAAATGATATATTAAAGGGGAGTGAAAATAATTTAATTTTTGAGGGGATATTACAAAGTATTTATTATTTTTCATTTTTAAATTTTTAGAATTTTTTAATATCACTAATTAAAAATAATTTTATAAATATGTCATCCATCTTAAATTATAAGTTATTTAAAATATTTCACACAAATAAAGTATGATTAATTTTGTATAAATATAAATGATATATAATTTTATAGTATCGTCTTTTATTTATAAAAAAATTAAAAAATTAGAAAGAGAAAAATTAGTAGATTATATTAGATAAAAAATTATTAACAAAATTATAAAGTAATTTATAATTTAAGACATTTTTCTTACGTATAATTTGTTATTGTTTTTCACAATAAAACACTTTTAGAAAAAACAATTAAGTTATTTTATTAAAAATTAATTTTTATAACAATACAGTATAAGTTTTTCTTGGTAACAAAAAATATATCAGCATTAGAGGTGATTAAACTCATATATAGAGAATATTTACATTACACAATTCAAAAGGATACCAATCAAAGATTAAAATTGATAATAATAGAATCTTTCACACTTATTGATCTACCCCCAAACCAATTTTAAAATAATGTTTTGACTAAATAGAAGATTTTCACAACATTTTTACTCCCACCCTTAAAAAAAATCTACAATATAAGTTAATTTACATTTACATTCAGTTCAATTATGATAATGTTACATTTATAAAATTATTTTAGAAATCAACATTGCAAAGTGGAAAAAAAGTTTATTTATTGAAAATTTAATTTGTATACATTAACAAGTAAACTTTTTTATAAATATATTTAATCAAATTATACTTGAAAAATAAAAAGAAGTGTAATTTGATATTTTATATATAAAAAAATAAATAATAATAATAATAATATGAGAGTAAAAAACTTGTGTCTTATCGGTGCACATAAGAAGAAGTTTGGTCCATTTCATTGTAATTCCGATTTTATCCTTGTATTAATAGAAAATATATAAGAAAAAGAAAAGAAAAGAAAATAAAATAAAACGCGTTTCAACAAATCAACCGGTTTTGTCAAAAAAATCAACCGGAAGCACTAACTTGAAAAGATGATATATATATATACTAGAAAGCAGTAACTGCACCAGTTTGCAACCGGAGAAAACTAGCCAGCGAATTTCCTCTCAATCTGGTGGCGACACCGACACTACCTCCACCGTATAATTCACTTCTCACAACTCAACCACCGTCGAAGAACCATTCGAACGAGCTTCTAGATCTCGATCTCGAACGCCATGGCGTTTTTGAGATCTATCGTTTTCTCCACAGTTCTTCTCTGTCTCGTTCACTCCGCTTTCTGCTTCTACCTTCCCGGCGTCGCTCCACAGGACTTCGTTAAGGTAGTGACTTAATAGATAGTACTATTTCATTTCGTTGTCTCTTTGATCTGTATTTGAATCTGAGAAGTTAGATCTGTGTTTTATTGAATTCGATTCGAGGTTATATGATGTGATTGATGCTAGGTTTTTCTATTTTGGTTTCATGACTGTTGAATAAGATATGCCAGTGTGTTTGAAATGAATTGAATCTTAATTTCAGTAGATCGCTTCAAAGAAAAATGTTCACGAATTTGACTTTTTGATATATGAAGGATTATACAGTCTAGGTTTAGATTTCTATTAATCTTTTTGTGTTTTATCACATGCTTAATTTGGCCGAAAACTTCTCTGTTTGAATGGATGGATTGAGTAACTTGCTGTGGTTAGAAATAGTTGTTGGTATTGCTAAATATGAAGAATATGTCATCAGATCAACTTGACAGGTTGAATTCTTGCATTATGAACTTAATGGTACTTGTGAATGATGATGAAATCAATTTAATACTTTTGTAGCTCCTTTATGAGTACTGAAGCTATCCTATGGATATGTTGTTGCTTAAATATGTTATGGATTGTGTAAAATGTGATATTTCTTTTTGTCATAATCTTGATCTGATCATACTGAATTATTTATGTCTACGTTGTATGTCCTCAACTGACTTGTTCAATATTTGTCTGGTGCAGGGAGAAGTTTTGGAGGTGAAAGTAAACAAATTAACATCAATAAAGACCCAGCTTCCATACTCATATTATTCACTTCCTTATCCTGCACCCAAAAAAATACAAGATAGTGCAGAAAATCTTGGGGAAGTGCTTCGCGGTGACCGCATTGAAAATTCACTCTATGTGGTCAGTTTTACATGTTAATTCTTGAATCTTTATCATTTTACAAGAAAGAAATTCTTAATGAAATATATAGCTTAGGAACATCTAACCTCAATTGGTTAACCATCATGTGGGAATGGTAGCTACTCTTTAACTTGGTTAGCTAGTTTTCTCCTTCCAAGCAATATTTTAGCATTTTATAACTTTTGGTAATTGGTAATCTCTTTGTTTATTGTTTGATTCTGATTTTGGTAATTTTTTCAGTTTAAAATGCGCGAGCCACAAATGTGTAATATCGTGGGTAAAGTTAAACTTGATGCTAAAAATGCCAAGGAGTTCAAAGAGAAGATCAATGACGAGTATCGGGTGAACATGTATGCTATGATGATATTTGTTTTACTATTTTCTGCCTGTTTCTAGAATCTTATTGATTGTTATATTTTATACTGGTTCTGCCTCTCATTTGCAGGATCCTAGATAACCTTCCTCTAGTTGTTCCCATTAAAAGGAACGATCAGGATTCTACTGTCTATCAGCTTGGTTTCCATGTTGGACTCAAAGGGCAGTATAGTGGGGTATGCATATTGTTTTATAACACCGTGGCTAATTTTATTGAATACCAAGTAGTTTCTTACTTTATCTAAATGTACAGAGCAAGGAGGAAAAGTATTTTATCCACAATCATTTGGCATTTACCGTGAAATTTCATAGAGATGTGCAAACTGAATCTGCTAGAATCGTGGGCTTTGAGGTTAAGCCGTTCAGGTAATTATTTGTATGTTTTAATTGTTCTATCAATTTTTTCCTTTTTGTTTTCCACATTTGTAGGGGAAGGGGTTTTGTGCATGGTGTTGCCCTTTTAATTGCTCATCTTTTTTAGTAGTTAGTGGTGATTTTTCAAATGGTTTATGTGCAGTGTTAAACACGAGCTTGATGGTAAATGGGATGAGCAAAAGACTCGTTTGACAACATGTGACCCTCATGCTAAGCACACAGTTATGAACAACAACTCCCCTCAAGAAGTTGACGAGAACAAGGAAATTATCTTCACGTATGATGTTGATTTTCTGGTGAGATTATGATCTGATGTAGCAGTGCAGCTATACCTTGTGTTTTAGAATGGTTATTGCCATGCATGAGTTAGGCAGTCAGACATTTGGGTTTAAGATAGAAGCTGGTCTGTGGCTTGGGTGACAAAATATTTAATACCCTCTTGCATTGATGGGCATTTTAATAGTTTTGTTTTCTTATATCCAGATTTTCTTTTCTTTTTCCTATCTAACTGGATTCTTCATCATTATCATCATCCTCCTTTTTTTGTTATGATGAAATATGAATGCTAGTTTTATATCTTAATATCTTCTTTTACCTTTGGTTGCTACCTTCAGGAGAGTGATGTGAAGTGGGCTTCAAGATGGGATGCCTATCTGCTAATGAATGATGACCAAATTCACTGGTTCTCTATTGTTAACTCATTAATGATTGTTCTATTCCTTTCGGGCATGGTGGCAATGATAATGCTGCGGACACTATACCGTGACATTGCAAAGTATAACGAGCTTGAGACCCAGGAAGAAGCCCAAGAGGAGACTGGTTGGAAACTTGTCCATGGGGATGTATTTAGGCCTCCTGTCAGCTCAGATTTGCTGTGCGTTTATGTTGGAACTGGTGTTCAGTTTTTTGGGATGATACTAGTAACCATGATATTTGCCATCCTTGGGTTCCTTTCTCCTTCAAACCGAGGTGGGCTCATGACAGCCATGCTCTTGGTTTGGGTTTTCATGGGAATATTTGCTGGTTATTCTTCAACTCGCTTGTACAAAATGTTCAAAGGATCAGAATGGAAAAAAATTGCACTCAAGACTGCAACCTTGTTCCCTGCAATTGTGTCTGTCATTTTCTTTATATTAAATGCTCTCATATGGGGCCAAAAATCATCTGGAGCTGTGCCATTTGGAACAATGTTTGCCCTGATCTTCTTATGGTTCGGGATCTCTGTTCCACTTGTTTTCGTGGGTAGCTATATTGGTTTCAGAAAACCAGCAATTGAGAATCCTGTGAAGACAAACAAAATCCCAAGGCAGATCCCTGAGCAGGCCTGGTACATGAACCCTGCCTTCTCTGTTTTGATTGGAGGAATACTTCCATTTGGAGCTGTTTTCATTGAGCTTTTCTTTATCCTCACCTCAATCTGGTTGAATCAGTTCTACTACATCTTTGGGTTCCTCTTTTTGGTCTTCATCATCCTTGTTGTCACTTGCGCTGAAATAACCATTGTGCTCTGCTACTTCCAGTTGTGCAGTGAGGATTACTTGTGGTGGTGGCGTTCATACCTTACTTCTGGTTCTTCTGCACTATACCTCTTTCTTTATGCAACATTCTACTTCTTCACCAAGCTTGAAATCACAAAGTTGGTGTCTGCAATATTTTACTTTGGATACATGCTTATAGCTTCTTATGCGTTTTTTGTGGTAACCGGTACTATTGGATTCTATGCATGCTTTTGGTTCACAAGGCTCATCTACTCTTCGGTCAAAATTGATTAGTTATAGCAGTCAATGGTTTGGGTTAATATCCTATAGTTATTTTAGAGGATGAAGTAAGTTTGTGTAAGGATTTCAAAATTCAAGTATTGTCATGATCACGTGTAACCTATTATATACAATTTTGAATTATGATGACTTCTATTCTTTTGTTTCAGTGTCATTTGAATTGCTGTTTGTCTCCCGTTATATGGTATTTTTATTCTTCAATAAGAAAATATGATTTCTCATAATTTAACCAGAATAGCTGTGATGTTAGTCAATTATGTTTGTGGTTGGACAAAAACAAAATTCAATTATTCGTATGTTATTTGTCTATTTGCTAGACACTACACGTTGATCATGTTTGATGCACATGAAGGAGATAGAAAATAAAGTTAAGTTTTTACATAGGGCAAAAGAACTCACAGTTTTGACTATTCATGTGCTTCTGACCTAAAACAATACTGTACAAGTGCTAGACAATTTCATATATATCTCCTCTCACCCTTCTTCACTACCCTTAGCCTCCCTATGGTTCTGGATCGTCTCATGTGTCTCTTTTGTGCTCATGTTAACCATTAGATTAATCCCATGGCTGAGATAAAAAGGTGTTTCCCCAAAGAGAAGAAAAAGAACAAACTGAAAAGGAAAAGAAAAATTCCTTGAACGTGTTTTCCCCAAATTTCTCCGCACTAATCATATTCACCAAATCATCCTTGACATATGATGAACTGTAGGAAAAAAAGGTTGTTTAAGTGTTACAACATGGCATTCTGCAATCATTTTTATTGATCATTTTTGTTTTAAAATTGAGTTTATTGGTTGTACTTTTGGGTTCATTGAAGTCATATGTAATAATTTTAAAATGATTTTTATGAAATTATGTCGTTCTCATACTTTGATGGTTATTGATATGAATTTATTGGTACTGATATGGTTTAGAGATATGGGTTTATCGGTATTTCTAGATTTCTTGCTTTATTGGTGTTGTAATGGTGTAGCAATATGGTTATTTCATTATAAAATAACACGGATTAAATGGTCCTGATATAGGTGTTGACTTGATGTGTATAATTTAAAATTAATATATACGAAAATAACATGACTTAAATTAAATGTAAGAAGTGTGAGTACATTGGTCGTAAATGTGGAGACTTGATCATTTAAAAATGAGAAAATTCACTTATTTTAAAATTTTGAGTGAATAAGTAGTGTGTCTCTTACATAATTGTCTCTAAAAGAAAATTCTACAATGTTCAGTGCTCCATACTAAAAGTTATTATTATGTCTATAAAATTTAATATCAATCGAAAATTATTTGACATGGGAACGTTTTACAAAAATTCATGAAAACTATTAATTTTTATCATTCTCTTTTTGACATATCAAATAATTTTTTTTGTTGATGTGAGATTTTATTGGTGTGATGTATATAATAACTTTCAATTTAAAGGTTAATTTTGTTACATAAATATAGTATGAAGAATTATCAGAAATATCGTATTACTAAGTCTGACAATTTGATGTCATATACATATATCACCTCAGGTGAGATTAATATAGTTGCTAAAATTTAACATCAATAATTTAATAAAACCAATACACCAAATTAACTTAAAGTTTCTTTATTTTCCTGCAGAAAAGATAAAAAGATTTAATAAATTAATTTAAGTCATGATTCATTAAAATAATAAATGTTACGAGGTTAAAATTGCAACAGCTAATAGTAGGGTGGTATATGAATTTGGTTGAGTCAATCCACTAAAATCGATTAAATTAATATAGTCTTTTTTAAAAAAAGTATGTTGAATCGGGTAATTAGGCAGGTATAAGTTTTAAAATTAAAATATCAATTAAAAAAATTTGGGTGGGGTAGAAACGGACACAAATCCAATAAATTTATTGATTTATTAATCCAACTTTTAATATTACAATTGTAATGATTTTGATGAATACTAATTTAGTTGTTGTAATTTTAGCCTCTTAACATTTATTATTTTAATGAATCATGACTTAAATTAATTTTGAATGTTTTATTATTTAATTATCTTGATGCTAATATAATTTTATGTTAGAGTATAATTGTTATGCACTGATAGTGTAAAAATATTTTACATCGTCATCAAATAGAAATATTATTCTGCCATGTCACATAATTAGTTTAAAATTTTCAGTATCATTTGGCGGAATGCATGGTCATCAATTAATTGACATTATAAAAAAAATTTACAATGTCAGTGCATCACCCTTTTTCCTTTATGTTATACAAATTTAATTTATTCTTAGCATTTTATGATAATTTTTATTAGTTGATGTTATCATTTATTATTTTATGATGTTAAAAATAAATTATCTAATTCTTTTTTTTTTAAAATAAAATATTGAGTAATTTTTGTAGAAAAAAATGATGAATCATCTTTTAGTCATTTAGTATTAATATAATAAAAAAATTATTTGTGCAATTTACTACCGACTCAATTAAATCCAAAAATGTTTGAGTTTGTTCAAACTGACCCATTAGTATAATGTGCGGTTATTTTACCTCGTCCAAACTATAGCGTCCTATATGAATTGGATATTGGATTTGGACAAAATCAACCTAAACCGACTCATATAGATTCTTACTATTTAAGCAAATAAATGCACTTCGAAACGCCTAGTTCAATTTGCCTTTTTGATTCACATGTCTCACCATCTTTTTCTTTAAGTTGGTATTGTATTTGCGCATTATTGTTTTACCTGTCATAAAAGAATAGAAATGTTGGATAATGAATAATATTCAATAATTTAATAATAATTGAATTATGAAATTTTCGAGCCACCATTTCTCTTTCTTTTGGAATTTTGACGCTCTACCTAACCTTTAAGACGCTTTGCACCTTTTTTGTCTTCTCTTTTTTGAAGCCTTTTGTTTGTGAAAAACCATCATTTCTACTTAAAATCTCCATAAATTTAGCAATAAATTCATCCACTTGAAAGATACTTGTTGGATTATTTTGAGACACTAGTACGCTCAGATATTTTTCGAGCAGCGACAATATGTATGATAAAAAACTAAGACTAAATGAAACTGATCTGACCTGATCAGAAGGGGATCACGGGCTGGCCACACGATGTTGGACTGCTACCTATTCACCGGTGATGAGGAGGAAAAAGGGGGGTGTACCTGCAAGACACTCTGATGCCAAAGTAAGGAATTGGGCAGAGTGAGAGCGAAGTACAGAAATGGGGTAAGAAGTGAATTACCTGACCCTCTTGAGAAAGAGGGTATTTATAGAGAGACCCCAGCGCTGGGCCAACAGTCACTTACGTTGGGTTGAATTGCCAGGCCCAACCCAGGTGACTGCTAGGGCTTACGTGGCGTAGTGAAGACCAGGATGTGGTCTTCGCCCTAGTCCAACTGCTCCTTGATCTCCGGAAAGTGGGTTTGACCTGCTCTTTCGGAGGTGGGCAGTTGGTTGGTGACGTGTCCCCGCGGAGGGGAGCACGTGGAGAACGCGCACAGGCCGCGTTGTTCTCCCCGCAGACGGGAGCTCGCGAGGTTCATCGGAGCCGTGTCGTTCTCCCCGAGGAGGGGAGCACACGTGGATGTGGGAGAGCCACGGGCTCTTGCTCGGTGGGATGGGGAATACCGCCCGCGGAGGCTGTTCTTCCCGGCTAGGGGGAGCGCCAAGGACGCTTAGAAGCGCGTCGTCCTGCTTGACAGGGAGCGTATCCGGCCCGTCCGACGGGGGGTGCGCGCCCGGTTAAGCTGCCTCACTTATTGGGCCTTGTCCGTTATTGGGCTGGGCCGCGAGGCCGGTCCCAGGCCAGAACAGGAGCCCCCCAAGTCGAAGTTCTGCGGTGAAAGAGCGAGGACTTAAGGTCGATGCTTCGGGAAAAGAGATAGCAAGACGGGTGGCTCGCCGGTTTCGTGTCCGGCGGGACGCGTGCGCGCGCGCGCGAAGGTCTTCCTGTCGCCGGGTGAGCGGGGCAAAGGCATATGAAGGGACGCGACCGTCAGGTTACCGCCACGTGTCACGCGCTGAGTGGGCACTAGGGCGGCTACCCTAGGACACTCAAAGGCCTAGTGTCGCTTCAAGTTCTGCGCCGGGTTATAAATATGGGGGTCCCCGAGCATTTTTTACTTTTCACCTTGCTTTCTCACCTGCGAAGTTCTGCGATTCCTCCCCGTCCGCCGTTGCTGTGAATCGCCGTCGCGCCGTTAGTTTTGCACCCCGTTCGCCGCCGTCACAAAGTGATTTTCCTTCTTCTCTTCTTTTATTTCCGCCGTTTGATTTGGGTCCGTGGTCGGGGCGCGATGAATGCCCCGAGGAGAGACGCGAGTTTCCGCCGTGTCTGGTGGTTTTTTTTTAGGTTTGTTTGGATGAATGCCCCGGGGAGGTTCGGTTGTTCCGATGAATGCCCCGGGGACGAGTGCCTTCTCCGATGAGTACTTCGGGGAGGGGCGATAGGCTAGCTTTGAATGCCCCGTGGAGACGTGGCGGGGAGCGTCCCTCGGGGCCCGCCCGCGTGCTCGTCTTTTGTTCGCTCGCCTGTCGTCGTCGCCCTTTCACTTGACCTGCGGTGGAAGGGTGGATTTGATCCTGGCTATCGAATTCACCATTATCCTCTGCTTTTCAGGTGTACATGTCAGCCTTGATACCGGGGACGATGGTCGAAGACAGTGATCCCGAGATCCCAGATTTTGACGAGCGGGTCCTCTCCATCGAGGAGTGGGTGGCCGAAGAGCCCCTGTCCACCCCTTCTTGCTTCGCGCTCGATGTGTCCGGCGCCTATGCTACCGTGGAGGATCGGGTGGAGGGGGAGCCGCAACACTGGCAGGTGTATCGTCCGAAGGAGCATCATCGCATCTGCTCGAGATATGGGTGGCGGATGTTTCCTATGCACGAATTCTACTTTAAAGAGGCTCGGCTCAGACTGCCGTTCTCCGCCTTCCACTTGGGTCTTTTTGACTGGTTACGTTTGGCCCCGTCTCAGCTGCATCCCAACGCCCTGGCCTTTATCCGTGCGTTCGAGGT